CACCAAGTCTGGCAGCACACCGAGCTCACCCGCTGCCCTCCTCCAGAGCCTGTCACTCCGCCTCCCACCCCGGGCACGCAGCAGCCCCTGGCTCTGGGGCACACGGTGGGTGGCTCTGGACCTGGGGAGCCCAGCTCAGCCCCAGTGGGAGCCATTTCAGCCCCAGATGCCGTTTTTCCCCTCAGCACCCACCCAGGCAGAGGGCTGCTGGCAGCCTCACTCCCCTCCAACCTCCCCACACACAACCAGGCCATGGCGTCTCCCAACCTGGCTCTCCACCAGCATGGCCATGTCCATGAACATGTCGTGCAGCTCTCGGATGCTGTTCTCCAGTTTGATGATCTCGCTGTGCCGTGTTTCAATCTCATTCAGTGCCTGCTTGGTGATGTTTGAATCCATAATGATCTGCAAGAAGACAGGGCCACCAAGCACCATGCTCAGCTCCTCAGATGCTGGATTAGGAGCACCAAGGGAGGGAAGAGCAGGAGCCCCTCCGGCCATCCCAGCCAGGCAGTTTGCAGCAAAACTCCACCCCACCCTGTGGCCAGGACACAGCCCACGCTCAGGCAGCATCCTCAGGCCAGACCTGAGCACCCAGGTGCCACCCCCTGCGTGGGCTGTACTCATCACCCCTGTACCAGGGACACCATGGCAGCACATCCACCAGCCAGCGCTGCCGGGATGAGGAGGCTGGCTCAGCTTTTGCCCAAGCCAGGCTTGGACCAGAGCTGACATGCGGTGCTTACCCCAGAGGAGAAGATGGCCGGGTTGCCGCTCTCCAGCATGTCCTCCAGTTCCTCGCTGGTGGTGGTCCTGCCAGCTGCAAACGACACAACACAGGTCATCTGTGAGCCCTCTGTCCTGGCCATGGGGCCTGCAACCCTGCTTCAGGGCTCTGCTGGCTCCATGGCATCTCCTGAAAGCGGAGCAAGCAAAGCCTCCAGCCGTGAGAGCCCACCGGGCAGTTTGGAGGGATCCATCCCGCAGCCAGGCTCTGTGCCAGCCCTGTGACCCTTCTTTCTAAGGGGGCCAAGCTGCCAGCTTGGCCCAGCTCATCCAGGAAAGCCTGTCCATCCCTCCTGGTTAAGCTGCCCCATTCCTGCCAGGCAGGACCCCACCCCGGGCCGGTTCAAGGCCATGAGGACACTGGGCTCAGCAGGGCTTGCTGGCCTGGCAGGCACTGAGTTTTAGCCCTGCAGCTGCATAGCAGAAACCAGGCTCCATCCTTCTCCCTCCTTGGCCTCAGGGTGGTACCTTCACCCCCGCAGCTCCTTTGGGAGCAATCCACCCATTGTGCATGGCTGCCTTCTGCTCCCCACAGCCATACTCCATGCTGCTGCACGGGAGAGAGAGATTAATGACTCTGGGTGACCCTGATCCTCCGCCACTAATTGCAGCACGTTCTTCAGGCTAACAGCCAGGCAGGACCCATGGAACTACAGGGCTAAGCAGAGACGATGGCACTGGGCAAGAGCCAGTCACACCTGCAGAGAGGGCAGGGAACGTCCCATACTCAGTATGATCAGGAGTGAACATGGGCAGATGGGCAGGAGCAGTTAACAAAGCAACTTTACCAAGACCGGCAAACCCAAACCACCAGAAGGGCAGGCAGGGAAGGGCTGGGGTCTTGTCTGGTGCTCCCTGACGACACACTGCCCACAGGCTCTGTCAGTGGTATTGAAAGGGACAGTAACATCCTCCAGGATGAGCCTAGGCTCCTCTGAACGGGGGACTGGAGGAGACATGGCAGAATGCAGGACAGAGTTCCCTGCTTCCAGCAGTGCTGCACCAGGGGCTCAGACCAGGGAGGTGCCCGAAACCTTGAACCCAGTCCAGACCATCACCACAAGCGTGTCAGTGCCCCAGGGCACACCGCGGGGGCCTCCCCCCCCAGCCGTGCCTGACTACCACCCTGCCTGGGGCATTCTCCAACAAGGACACCTCCACACTTTATCACACGGCTCTTTCTTTGCAAGGTCCTGCACCTGAGTCAGGGCAATCCTCAGTACCAGTGTGGCGCAGACTGGGGGATGGATGGGTGGGTGGATGGATGGATGGGTGGAGAGCACCCTGTGGAGAAGGACTGGGGATACTGGTGGGTGACAAATGGGCCATCAGCTGGCAATGGGCGCTGGCAGAAAGCCAAGCTGGGCTGCGGCCCCAGCAGTGTGGCCAAAAGCTGGAGGGAGGGGATGCTCACCCTCGGCTCCGCTCCCCCCACACCCCTCTGCAGCCCTGCACCCAGCTCGGGGCTCCCCACCACCAGACAACTGTTTTAAACTGGGCGAGGGTGGGCTTGGGCTGGACATCAGGAGGAAATGTTGTACCCTGAGGGTGCTGAGGAACTGGCACAGGCTGCCCCCAGCAGCTGGGGATGCCCCAGCCCCCGGAGGGGTCAAGCCCAGCTTGGATGGGGCTTTGAGCAATCAGATCCTGGGGGAATGTCCCTGGCCCTGGTGGGGGGGCTGGACTGGAGCAGCTTTGAAGGCCCCTTCCAACCCAGACCACTCTGTGAAGCTATAATTCTCTTGCCCTGAGGTGCGGAAATGAGAAGACCACCCAGAGCTCCTCTCCTCCGCTCTTTGCTGGGCTGCACATGCATGGGCGCTCTCAGTGTCCATGATGGGAAAGAGCATTCCTGGCTTTGCCTCAGGAAAATGATGCCATACCAGCAGATATTGGTGGCGGTGGCAGCCAGGAGCAGGCGGGAGCCCGCAGGCTCTGGGCACAGTTACCAGCACCATGTGGAGGTTGCTTGCTGTCTCCTGGCACCAGGAGGCTGCAGGAAGGGAGAGGGAATAAAGCCAACCACACCTTCACACTCCCAGCACAAAGGCTTTGCTATCTGCTAATGCTCACCAGCTTTCATTTCCCACCAGACCGACAGTGTTTACACCCATGGCTGCGCCGGGAATGTGCAGCCTCCTCACCCAAAGCAGGTGATGAAGCCCTCTGGATGCTTTCTGAGCCACGTGACAAAGAAAGCACCAAGACCTGGAAGGGTGGCAGGGTGCAGAAATGAACTGGGTCCCTTGCAAGCACCCTCTGGGGCCTGGAGCTCTGGGAGGCTGGAGGGCAACACTCCACGACGCGTAGCGGGCAGCTGGGTCCCTTCCCCAATCTCCTCGCCCAGCAGTGCGAGCCTTGCATGGCTCCTCGCCGCCCACTCCAGATTTGCTTCTCCTCTTGGGAACAGAGGCAAGGGAGCAAGGAGCAGGCTGGAGGGAGGGCAGCTGGAGGGAGCCACTCTCCCGGCGCTGCCAAGGAGCAGGACCAGCGAGCAGCTACCACAGTGCCCCCAGCACAGCAGGGACAGCCCGTGCTCAGGGCCGTGAAGGGGCCTGGAGGCCTGAGACACCCCAGCCATGTTGGGCAGGGCTGGACATAGCCCAGTGCTTCCCCCAGCACCCAGCATCTCGGCCACAGCCCCCGGCCCAGATAGGAGAGTGCTGGGAGAGTTGGGGCTGAGAGCCGCAGGCTGGAGCAGACGGCACTTCTGAAAGCAACGTGGAGCTGTGACCAGTAGGTGGCATGAAAGAAGGAGCCATTTGCTGGGTGGTCCAAAAACCAGCTACAGTTGGAAGAGAAAAAGGAAATTAAAAAAGAACAAGAACCAGAACAGTGGCCAGGAGGGAAAAATGGAAATTCCTTACAGCAAAATTTTTCTGTTATTGGTTTTCTTAAAATGAAATACCTTCTCTGCAAGTTAATAGCCCACGGACAAGAAAGAATTCCCCTGTTAGTCATGTGACTAATATCTCATCATCTAAAAAGCTTAATGGGATTTTTATTTTAATAACTGATAGGAACGGCTCAGTGACACCGCAGCCATGGCCCAGCTGGCTCTCGCTGCAGGGGTCCAGGGCACAGCCCCCGCAGGAGCTGGCTCCCTTCCTAGCACACACAGGGCTGGCTGGCTGGCCAGAGTCTGGGGCAGGCAGCTCAGGATGCATGGGAAGAGAGAGCAAAATGGGATGTACTTGGTCCTGCTGCGTCCAGACACCAAACTTCCACAGTAATGGGATGGCTCCCGGACCACTGGTCCAGGTCATGGCAAGCTGTGGTGCTGTGGGGGACTGGGACCAGGAGCAGCCAGAGCTCCTGAGACCACAGGGAGAGCAAAGAGACACAGAGAATGGTGGCCTGGATGGCACTGGGGGAACACCAGGGCAGCACCACCAGGTTTCCTGGCCTTGGGCTCTCCCAGCAGCACTTTCTGCTGCTGTAACTCTTGGGGGACAAACGAGTTGCTTTCAACAAACCCAGGAGCCTCAAATGAGCCCGCTCCCCTCCCAGGCACCGGGGGCTGGAGGGAGGGACTCAGTGGAGCAGCTCAGCAGGGAGCCCAACCCACAGCTCAAACCCAGCTGCATGGTGCATGGAGACCAAATGAACAGAGCAGACCTTAAGAACATCTTGTAAAAGTACAATAAAGCTTATAAAAAGGAAGAAGAGGGGCTTGCCCAAAGCAGCAGAGAGACAATCCACATGTGAGACCACCAAGAACCAGAGAGGGAGAGGAGCCGCAAGCTGCTCCTCTGTGCTTGGCCCGCAGCCCTGAAGAGCAGCAGCCAGAGTCCCACAGCAGAGCAGGAGTGGGGATGCTCTGGAGCTGGGGGGGCCAAGCTAGGGGAGCACATGCAAGGCCCTCACCAGCCAGCACCCATCCCACAGCACGTGAGCAGGGTGCGCAGAATGGTGTCCAGCAATGGTGTCCTGGCAGGGCCAGGCAACAAGACCTGTGAAATAGGGGCTGGGGTAGCTCCAGAGTCCAGTCAGGAGCCACAGGATTTGGGGCTGGAGACAGGACTGGAGACAAAGCTACAATACAGGGCCAGGGCACTTCCAGGAGACACAGCCAGGAAAGGACTGGGCACACTGGCACAGGCTGCCCCCAGCAGCTGGGGATGCCCCAGCCCCAGGAGGGTTCAAGCCCAGCTTGGACAGGGCTTTGAGCAACCGGATCCTGGGGCAGATGTCCCTGCCACTGGCGGGGGGGATGGACTGGAGCAGCTTTGAAGGCCCCTTTCAACCCAGACCACCCTGTCGAGTCCATGGTGCCATGACATGACTACAACAAGGAGTCGAAGCCCCAGGAGGCAGGGCTGGACACCAGCTGTCCTGAACATAGACCTGATCCCACCCCAGGAGCAAGGCCAGAGTCAGGGCTGAAGACCGGTACCTCTACAGCATGGTTCAGCTGTGGGCTGGGTGGCCCAGGCCTGATCTTACACAGCTCCTGGACCCACGGGCAGAGGTAGAAGTCCTGTGCGAGGCTGGTCCAGACAACTAAGGGCTAGTGCCTGCAAAGTCCTGGGCTAGTGCCTGCAAAGTCCTGAGTAGCTTCTGCTTTACAGCAAGAGAACAGCCTGACCCCTGCCTGCGCCCCACATGAGCTCCGTGCAGCTCCCAGCCATGGGTGAGGGCTGGGTTCTGCCATCCACACGCTCACGGGCCCAAGGAGCTCCATAACGCCAAGGGCTGATCCCCCTCCCCACCTTTGCCAGCTCCAAGAAGGATCCACAGCCCATTTCCAGCCACCATTACATGTTTTATGATGACAGAGCATCGCTCCCACCAAGGGTGACCCACGACACCCACTGCCCAGCTCCTCCTGCCTGCCAGCTCCTCACTCGCAGCTGAATCTGCCCTGGCTCCAGGAAGGGAGAACAAGGGCTTGAACAGCACAAATTTCCTGTTGGCTGTGCCCAGCTCCGCACAGTCACCGGCGCAGTGACAGAGGAGCGTGCTAGGCGTGACGCATCAAGGGCTACTTGCTCTGCCCAGTTCCAGCCCTAGAGACAGCCCCCAGGGTAAGTG